GTGGCTAGTCAAAGCTATTCCTCAGCGAAGGCACGTCGACACTTTTGGGCCAGTCTCACAGCTGAATGTATCAATCTAATTACTAAAAATAGCGATAGCATAGACAGGAAGTGAACTGGCTGATCTTTGTTGACAGGAAATGACGTCACGCCTCCCCATGCAGCCAACCAGTGTACACAAACAATTCAGAATACAGATAATATGAAAAATGGCATTGAGAACAAAACAATCCATAATCTCCATTGTTCTGTATTTAATCTATATGGCTCAGCCCAATAGAAAAAGGTACAACATAATTTTTATATCCATTCAGTTGCACATAAAAAACTCTCGTGACTTTTTCGATGCACTTTTAACGTTTGAAATTATGTTGTACCTTTTTTTAAAAATATATTTCAGCTACTTGTCCGTTATGTGACTGTGTGAATGAGAGCAGCCGGCACCACTGTAATTTTCTTTGAGATCAATAAAGTGTATGTATAGCTTCGGGATGTGAACTCAAAGATATGTAGTTTTTTGTTTTTGTTTTTTATGAGACTGGAGTCATAAGAAACTGGGGACACACTCTGCAGTGATGGTCCTCTGGACGGTTAAGGGGAGTGGCTCCAGAAAAATCTAAATTGTCTTCATTTAAGATTAGATAAAATAAGGAAAGGTTTTTGTCTCGGGTTTACTGCACACAAGTGTCTTTGGTCCAATTCTGATTGCTGCCTGGAATGTGGCGTCTTTTCAAATGATCCAAGAAGGTCCTGGGTTCAAATCCCGGTCAGAACAGGGTCGTTCTAAGTGGAGTTTGTATGTTCTTCTAGTGTCTGCGTTGGTTTCCTCTTGGTGCTCCGGTTCCCCTACCAATAAAAACATGTTCAATAGGTCTGAATGTAATGTAATATTGGGGGATTGTGTGTTCGGTGTCTCACTTCCGTCATCACCGTGTGGAGAGACGGTAAAAATGTCTAAACTCTGAACATTGTAAAGTGCTTTTTGTGACATTTGTCTGTAAAAGGCACAATATAAATAAACAGGACTTACTTGCTATGCAGCAATCTAATAAACAACAAAAAAATCAGCCATCAATAAATTATATAATGCATCTTGCTTCTTGTAGATTTAAATTGTTTTAACAGTCAGAATGTGCTCGGATAAAGATTAAAACCACCTGATTAAAGCCACTATTCCTTAGAGGTGCAACGGTTCATCACTGATCCGTGATCCGTTCGGTTCAACGTCTTCGGTTCGGTACAGACGTGATCCGCGGTTTGATTTATGAAAAAAAAGTTGTGTGCACGTTGTTCAGTCCACACACAGCGCGGTCATTGCGAGCGGAGGAACGGAGATGCTTGAAAGCCCTGCGTCATTTAAATCCCCAGTATGAGAGCATTTTGGCTTCACTGTAACTACACTGATAATTAATATTCAACAAAACTGTCACGGTGTGTAAGCACTGTGGCACAAGAAAGACATGAGTGAAAAAAGCGTCTCAACGACCACCTATTGAGAATGAGGAGTTGACGTCACGGCACAGAGTCCCCCCTCCCCATCCCCCCTTTGCCGACATATTGGCTGCGCACCGGTGGCGGCAGTACAGTTTGTTTACGTGTGTTGTGAACGCGGTAGTAGCGGAGGTTCTTGCTATTCCGCACTGTTTTATCATGCCTGGAAATAACTGCTGCGTTAAAAACTGCTCCAATACCTCCCACGATGGATATGGAAAACCTAGTAACAACGGGATACAGTTTTTTAGGTTACCGAAATGGAAAAAGCATCAAGGGGAGCAATTCTCTGACCTGACAAGGAGACGTCGGATTGCTTGGTTGGCTGCAATTAGAAGAAAGGACCTTACTTTCGATCACACACCCCTGTCGACGAGAGTGTGTTCTCTGTATTTTCACTCTGGTACGTTCTCTAAAAATGTATTTATGTAGTTGTCTCTTAAAGCTAGGAAGTGTAGGTTAGCATGTTATTATGGTTTCTGTAGTGCCTTTGTCTCTGTGTCTTTGTTACCCTCTCAGGCTGTTTCTTACTTAGCACGTGTTCTGCGAGGTCTTTGCCAGTGTAAAGCATAGATTACATAGATTGTACACATAATCTAATTATTCTGTTGTACATAAACCTTCATATGACATTATGAGGTGACCTAAAAAGTACTTGAGATGCTGTTCATGACATAGTTGCCAGTTTAAAGCATTGATTACATAGATTGTGCAAATTATTATATTAATTATATGTTGTTATTATTCTCGTGTAGGTAAACCAGCATATGAGATGTTGGAGAACCACCCTGACTGGACACCATCCCTGTTGTTAGGCCACAATGATGTACAAAAAACAGATGAAGCGAGATATCAGCGGCAAGTAAGGCGCAGGTCCCTGCCACTGGAGCGGCAGCCACCTCCAGCCCAACACCAGCCGCAGGCGCCGCCGCTTCCAGCCCTAGACCAGCTGCAGCCGCCACCAGCCCTAGACCAGCTGCAGCCGCCACCAGCCCTAGACCAGCCGCAGGCGCCGCCGCCACCAGCCCTAGACCAGCCGCAGGCGCCGCCGCCACCAGTCCTAGACCAGCCGCAGGCGCCGCCGCCGCCAGCCCTAGACCAGCCGCAGGCGCCGCCGCCGCCAGCCCTAGACCAGCCGCCAGCTGACCCGGACATGGAATGTGGACTCTGCACATCTAGACGAGATGTTATCAACAATCTTCTTGAAGAAAACAGACAGCTGAAGCGTGAGCTTGATACGTACCGGATGAATGAGAACTTTCTGAGTGGTGATGATAACACAGTGAAGTATTACACGGGGCTTCCAAACTTTGCATTGTTCCAGACACTTCTACTCTACCTAACTCCAGATCTGCCTCAAGGTAGAATGAAGAAGCTCTCACCCTTCCAGCTTGTCCTATTGACTTTAATGCGCCTCAGACTGGACCTTCCAATACAGCACCTCAGCCATCTGTTTAGAGTACATAGGACAACAGTCGCCGATGCCTTTCACCATACCCTTGGTGTGATGTACGCACAGCTGTGTCCATTGGTGCACTGGCCAAGTAGGGAATGCTTATTGACCAGTATGCCACACCAGTTTGTGGAGTCATTTGGGAACAATGTGGCTGCCATTGTGGACTGCTTCGAGGTGTTCATCGAGAAACCTTCCAATGTACTAGCAAGGGCACAGACTTTTTCTCAATACAAACACGCATACACTATGAAATACCTAATCGTGATCACGCCCCAGGGTGTAATTTCCTTCATATCGAACGGGTGGGGTGGGCGCACAAGCGACAAGCATATAACCGAGCAAAGTGGTTTCCTGAACAAGCTGTTACCAGGTGACATTGTGCTGGCAGATAGAGGCTTTAATATAAGAGAACATGTGGGCATGATGTGTGCTGAAGTGAAAATACCTACATTCACCAGGGGTCGTGCTCAGCTTGAGGCGAAAGATGTGGAGGAGACTAGGGCCATAGCACATCTCAGAATTCACGTGGAGAGGGTGATCGGTGTTGTGCGCAACAAATTCAAATTCTTACACTCAACTGTACCTGTGCACATGCTTGTCAAATGTGAGGGTGAAAACCTAATGCCTTTGGATAAGATTGTCATTGTTTGCTGTGCCTTAACGAACATGTGCAAAAGTGTTGTTTGAGTACCTTATTCTTTACTGTATCTTTTATTTTTAAATAAATGCATGAAACAACTTGATATGGTTTACCAATATTTATTGAGAAATGAATATTTTTTTTGTTACAAACGTGTGCAGTCAAAGTACTGTTTCCAGCATGTAAACATGCCCAACATAGGTAAAAATGATAATAAGAGTCATACTTTTCTTAGTGCAAAGGGACACAAAACACTGCAAAACAACGTGTGCATTCAAAGTACTGTTTCCAGCATGTAAACATGCACAAAATAATAAAATTAATTATAACATAAATAATAATAACAAATAAGACTGTTATTAGTGCAAATGTACAAAAAAAAACACTGCAAAGGGACACAGCAATAACAATAATACAATTTTAAGAAATAGGAAAAACCTATTCTGCACAACAAGGGCAAAACCATGGCGTGTCACCAGAGGGTTTATTAACAAGCCCCACACAACTGAAGTGAAACCACTGGACTGGAAAACGCAAATGCGTATAATTTAAAGTGCTCTGGAATATGAGGAGCGCGTGAAATTCTGGGGGCGTGCCCCCGTTGCGCAGCCAATATGTCCGACAGGCTCAGAGCCCCCCCCAAATCACCCCAACTCGGCACGTGACTCCTCATTCTCAATTGTCGCGGCATTTAAGCAGCTCCTTTACGCACAGTCAGACCGGGCTAAAGTCAACTCTCCCGCACATCTTCAGCTGCGCTCACGACTGACGCTTGGACGTCCCGTGGAACCTATAATAGATCCATGAGCGGAACCGCTCACTTCATCACCGCAGACTGGGAGATGAAAAGTCTGGCGCTGAAGACACGCCCCCTCTACGACAGTCACACTGTCACACAGCGCAGGTACTGACACAAGCAGCGGAGGAATGGAAGACAAAGGCCCAGTACTAATATCCCAGTCACAACTGATAATGCCAAAAATTAAATAAATGCAGTGAATGAGGCTGGGCCCAGAATGGACCCCCTCCTTGGGAGAATCAGGAAGGTGGTGTAATATATGAGGGTAAATATCCTCATAAAGTGCCTTCTTATGTTGCACCTTGTGTTGTTTTTCATTAATTATGTTAAATAGACATAATTGGATGGATGGAATATGCCTTCCATCCATCCATCCATTTCCTTCCCCTTAATTCATTTCTAGGTCAGGGGGGGCAGTCAGAGCAGGTGCCGAGTCCACATGAGCTGTGTTTATTAAAAAGACAAAACTTTTTTTTAGAAAAATGAACCGAAAAATGAACCGAACCGTGGCCTCTGAACCGAGGTACGAACCGAACCGTGATTTTTTCAAACCATTGCACCCCTACTATTCCTTCATATTTTGTCCTTTAATAATCCTTTGTTCTGTACCGTAGCATGGCGTCAACCTGCACCTCCATCAACCTGATGTACCCCGAGGGGAGTCTGGGCAGCGCCTCTAATCCGGAGCAGTTTCGCGGCGACCAGGACTTTGAGAAGCTCAGAACCAAATGCGTGTCGCGCAACAGGAAGTTTGTGGACACGAAATTCCGTCCCAACTTCAACTCTCTTGGACTCCTTCCTGGGATGACGATGGAGGAGACTAAGAGGATCAAATGGTTCAGACCCAAAGTATGTGTTTAGAAAGTTCCCTTGGTGTGATATAGTGCAGCTTTGGTGGCTGGTGATGTCACATAGATGAAGGTATTTTTGTTTAACTTTAAATGTGACAACATGCACAAATCAGTCATTATAATGTAAGCATTTGTCAAACATTTCTCTGGGTCTCTGGCTCTGAGTTTGTCTTTCTGTCTCAATCTCTCTCTCTGTGTGTCTCTCCATATCTTTCTGTCTCCCTCTCTGTCATTATCTCTTTGTCAATAGTGTAAATTATATACAGAATAATTAAAGTGACATTCTTAAATTGCATATGGCCCGCCTCTCGTGTGCTGTGATTGGCTCTTGGGTTAGGTGTGGCTCAGAAATGTTTTAGGCAAAAAGTTAACTTATGAGGCTGTGTCTTCAGTCATGTGTTTTTAGTTGACTCCTACAGTATGTATTAGGATAATGAAGAGAAAGATCTGACTTTAGCATAATACAGAAGGATGAAATAAAACGTTGTAAACTCATTTTTTGTCGTTCTTTGTAGGAAATTTTGGAGATGTTGAACATAAAGGAGGAACCACAGTTCAGCATCGCTGGAGAATCTCGCTTTGACTTTGCTCAGGGTTATCTTGGTAATTCTTTTGTTTTTATATAAATCTATAACTTCACTGGGTTTTGGTCACAACATTTTACACTATTCAATTGTTTGTTGCAGGAAATTCTTGGTTTTTGGCAGCGGCTGCTTCGCTCACACTCAATAAAAAAATCAAGGACCAAGTTGTACCCAAGCAATCCTTTGATGACTACGCTGGGATCTTTCACTTTCGGGTAAACCTGTCAGAATATACACAAACAGATTCAACATAACGTCTTAAATGTCTTTTTTTGTTGTTGCAGTTTTTAACTTCATACAACTGCACAGTACAAACAGTAATACGATTCCACACAGGCCCGAACACTCTCCGACCCTACACCTCTCTCCCACGACTTGCTCTCTGCTTAAGGCATCGCTCTTTGTCTTCCAAATGTTTCTTCAATACATTTTATTTTTTATTTTTTTTGGACTGCAAACATTTCAGTTAGTGTTTATTTGGGCGTTTAGAAAACATAAAATAATATTGACACACATCGACTTTTAAAGTCCTAAATATAGGCTAGGGGTGCACGAATCTGATTCTGATATCGGGTCGATACAATAGGCTTGTACTCGTACCATAGGACCCGATCCGGGCAAGATACCCACAGCTTTTATTTACACTAGCGTCACAACGGCAGATCGATGTGAGGCACGTGTTGCCATGGTGATCTCCCAATGTCGGCAGCGAGAAAGCCGGCAAGCGGACAAGATGTCTGCCTTTTTTTGTTTTTTGTTTTTTTTTAAACGAGGGTGACAAGTAAAACAGACTGTACATTGTTTAAGAAAGAAAAGGCACAAGGTGAGTCAAAACATGTATAACACCAGCAACTTGACCAAACTTACCACCATGCACAGAAACCTTTGCTAGCACCAATGCTATTTCTTTGTGGAATATGACAGCGGCTCTTATAGTTGACTGTTAAAACAATTACTATCATTTTTAATTGTTAAAGCATTTTCTTGTTTTAAATGAGAAACAAAAGATTTTATATTTCAGTTGTCTTAGTTTCATGAATACTTAGTGGTAACACAATGCATTATATTTAGTCTATATGCGGTACTCATATCGGCAAGTAGTCAACTAAAAAAGTGAAATCGGGGCATCCCTAAATCAGGCACATACACTTTTGCTTCCTCATAGTCTACACTTACGATGAGCATCTCTATCATGGAATAGTGAAGAGAAACATGAGCTGATGTCTTATTCTGTTTTTCAGTTTTGGAGGTACGGTAAATGGGTGGATGTGGTCATTGACGACTTATTGCCAGTTTACATCAATGGGTTCCTGTCTGTGCACTCCACACCAGTGACGGAGTTCTGGGCCCCTCTGATGGAGAAGGCCTACGCTAAGTGAGTGAAAAACATTCACATGAGCTTTGTCTCATGTCATGATCACATTTTAGGCATGAATTGCTTGAATCTGGTGGTTTCTGACTGACAAAGCCAGTCAGTCTTATTTCCAGATCATTTTGCTTTGTCCCAGTGGCATATCTTGTCTAAAGACAGTCAGAATGTGCTTAAATTAAGACACTTGACTCCGGTGTTTCATTCCACTCCAATGTTGTATCACACCATCTCTGGAGGAACACATTACCCAAATTCGGTGCAGCTAGCATTGTTTGTTAGCATCTTTGGGTAATGATATTTGACCCAGAAACAAAAATTGAATAAATTACAATGTTATTTAAAAAAAAAGATGATAAACATGTTATTGGCAGAGCCGGATCTCATATCAGTTTTTGGTTCCTGGGTGTATACTATAAATCATACATGGAGGATGGACAGCCATTTATGTGACTATTGCACCTCAAAGCAAGATCCCCAGGAGCCATTCGGAGCTTGTTTGTAAACTGTTGTGTGTGTGTGTGTGTGTGTGTGTGTTGCAGAGTGTGTGGGTCGTATGGAGACATGCAGGGGGACTGACCACTGAGTCCTGCAGAGACATGAGCGGTCACTTAAGTTTGGACTTTGCTCTTAGAGCAGAGTTCAATGAAAATGAGCTGTGGAAGGCCCTCGTCGATGGCTCCGCCTGCCACGCCATGATGTGCTGCCTGTCTTCAACGCTGTAACCACTCACTCTTTAAACATGCCATACACATCTGTGTATCTATATATTTGTGAATCTATTTATCCATCCATCCATCCATCCATTTTCTTCCGCTTTATCCGTTGCCGGGTTGCGGGGGCAGCAGTCTAAGCAGAGACGCCCAGACTTCCCTATCCACACACACTTCCTCCAGCTCATCCGGGGGGACCCCAAGGCGTTCCCAAGCCAGCTGAGAGACATAGTCCCTCCGGTAAATCGAGAGAGAGGCAAACCTTGACCGGTAAATCGAGAGCTTTGCCTTTCGGCTCAGCTCCCTCTTTACCACAACGGTCCGATACAGCGACCGCATCACTGCGCACGCTGCACCGATCCGCCTGTCAATCTCATGCTCCATTCTTCCCTCACTCGTGAACAAGACCCCGAGATACTTGAACTCCTCCACTTGAGGAAGGACCTCTCCACCCACCTGTAGAGGGCAAGGCACCTTTTTCCGGTCGAGCACCATGGCCTCGGATTTGGAGGTGCTGATTCTCATCCCAGCCGCTTACACTCGGCTGCAAACCGCCCCAGTGCATGCTGCAGGTCCTGGTTCGTTGGAGCCAACAGGACAACATCGTCCGCAAACAGCAGAGATGAAATCCTGTGGTCTCCGAACCGGACCCCCTCCGACCCCTGGCTGCGCCTAGAAATTCTGTCCATAAATACAGTGAACAGAACCGGTGACAAAGGGCAGCCCTGTCGGAGGCCAACATTCACCGGGAACAGGTCTGACTTACTGCCGGCAATGCGAACACAGCTCTGGCTCCGGTCATACAGGGATCGGATGGCCCAGACCCCGTACTCCCGGAGAACCCCCCCCCCCCAAAGGACACCCCGGGGAACACAGTCGAACGCCTTCTCCAAATCCACAAAGCACATGTGGACAGGTTGGGCGAACTCCCATGAACCCTCGAGTATCCGATGGAGAGTATAGAGCTGGTCCAGTGTTCCGCGACCGGGACGAAAACCACACTGCTCCTCCTGGATCCGAGATTCGACCATCGGCCGTAGCCTCCTCTCCAGTACCTTGGAGTAGACCTTACCGGGGAGGCTGAGGAGTGTGATCCCACGATAATTGGAACACACCCTCCGGTCCCCCTTCTTGTAGAGGGACCACCACCCCGGTCTGCCACTCCATTGGCACCGCCCCCGATCGCCACGCGATGTTGCAGAGACGTGTCAGCCAAGACAGTCCTACAACATCCAGAGACTTTAGATAATCTCAGGGCGGATCTCATCCACACCCGGAGCCTTGCCACCATGGAGGCTGCCAACCACCTTGGTGACCTCAGCCAGGGAGATGGATGTATCCGCCCCAACATCCTCAGCCTCTGCCTCTGTAACAGAGGACGTGACGGGGGGATTGAGGAGAACCTCAAAGTATTCCTTCCACCGCCCGACAATATCCCCAGTCGAGGTGAGCAGCTCTCCACCCGCACCGTACATGGTGTTGGCAAAGAACTGCTTCCCCCTCCTGAGGCGCCGGATGGTTTGCCAGAATCTTTTCGAGGCCGACCGATAGTCATGCACCGTGGACTCTCCTCCCAGTCCCGGGTTTTTGCCTCTGCAACAGCCCGGGCCGCGGCACGCTTGGCCTGCCGGTACTGGACAGCTGCCTCAGGAGTCCCCCGAACCATCATGGCTCGATAGGACTCCTTCTTCAGCCTGACAGCATCCCTTACTGCCGGTGTCCACCACCGGGTTCGGGGGTTGCCGCCGGGACCAGCACCAGAGACCTTGCGACCACAGCTACGAGCCGCCGCATCGGCGATTGAGGCAGAGAACATGGTCCACTCGGACTCCATGTCCCCCTCCTCCGCCGGGACCTGGGAAAAACTCTCCCGGAGGTGTGAGTTGAAAGTCCGTCTGACAGGGGGCTCAGCGAGACGTTCCCAGCAGACCCTCACTATACGCTTGGGTCTGTCAGGTCTGACCGGCTTCTTTCCCTGCCAGCGGATCCAACTCACGACCAGGTGATGATCGGTTGACAGCTCCGCCCCTCTCTTTACCCGAGTGTCCGAGACACGCGGTCGAAGGTCAGATGATACGACAACAAAGTCGATCATTGACCTCCGGCCTAGGGTGTCCTGGTGCCACGTGCACTGGTGGACACCCTTGTGCTCGAACATGGTGTTCTCAATGGACAAACTGACTGGCACAGAAGTCCAACAACTGAACACCGCTCGGGTTCAGATCAGGGGGGCCGTTCTTCCCGATCACCCCTCTCCAAGTGTCACTGGCGTTTCCCACATGGGCGTTGAAGTCCCCCAGGAGAATAACGGAGTCCCCGGGCGGTGCACCGTCCAGTACCCCTCCCAAGGACTCCAAGAAGGCCGGGTACTCTGCACTGCTGTTAGGCCCGTAGGCCGTCACAACAATGAGAAACTTGTCCCCCACCCGGAGGCGGAGGGACGCGCCCCTCTCTTTCACCGGGGAGAACTCCAACACGTGGCGGCTGAGATGGGGGGGCAATGATACTGGCCACCCCAGCTCGCCGCCTCTCCCCGCGGGAAACTCCAGAAAAGTGGAGCGTCCAACCCCTCTCAAGGAGTTGGGTTCCAGAGCCCAAGCTGTGTGTGGAGGTGAGGCCGACTATCTCTAGTCGGTATCGCTCAACCTTCCCCACGAGCTCGGGCTCCTTCCCCCCCAGTGAGGTGACGTTCCACGTCCCAAGAGCCAGATGTTGTGTGTACGGACTGGGTCGCCGAGGTCTCCGCCTTCAACTGCCGCCCAGTCCTCTCAGCACCGCGCCACCACGGACCCCTCTGCAGGTGGTGGGCCCACAGGAGGGACTGCCCACGTCATCCCTTCGGGCTGAGCCCGGCCGGGCCCCGTGGGCTAAGGCCCGGCCACCAGGCGCTCGCATACGAGCCCCGACCCCAGGCCTGGCTCCAGGGTGGGGCCCCGGCTGCGCCATGCCGGGCGACGTCACTGGTCTATTTATCGTGCTGTCCATGGTGGTTTTTGGACCGCTCTTCGTCTGACTCCTGTCTCCAATGGGAGGCCATACCAGGGGCATGAAGCCCCAGACAGCATAGCTCCCAGGATCATCAGAGTACTCAAACTCCCCCACCACGTTAAGGTGGCAGTTGTTGTCAAAAAAGATTTGACTGACGTGTTCAAAGTTTGATACAGAAATAAGATCAAGAATTCAAGAGTTAAGAATATAACATTTTTTTCTCTTTACAATTCAAATATTGATACAAAACTCTTGGAGCTCTTAATTCCCTAAATCTATCCCTGTGCTAACTGAGGCTCAGAACTCAAGCCAACAGTTTTATCAGCATGTCCGATGACGTCATATGGTCTGAGACTGGATTCCGGTCTGGTCTGGTCTGGTCTGAGGCTGGTCTTCCATATCAGGTTTAGCAAACAGTGCCCCCACCCACCAGCGGCGCCTTCCTGTCTGCTATCCTCGTCCTTGGGGGCTGGGGGAAAAAGGGATTCACACATTCCAACCTATAGCTTCTTCCTTATAAGGAAGAAGCCTCCATGCAGCTGTCACTGGTCTGACATCAATCTCCTTCTCCAAACAACTCTTATCTGGGCTGGGGGAGCTCTGCACTCCTCACATGGTCTGGCCGACTCGACTAGACCCCACTAATATGAAATCACTGAAAATATAAACGACGTGTGCAGCATTTCTTGAGATGATGCATCACAGTCCAGGGGGGGAGCGGCAGTCCAGGGGGGGGGGGGGGGGGGCTATCTATTTATCTGACAACAAAATAGTCTCACCATTCTATTTACTTGCCCAAAGTAATGAATCATTTCTTCAGAGGTACAGATAACATTCAATGACTAGTGTTTTTTATTGATCGCACATGTAACACCCACAATGTAATTCATTCACATTGCACTTTTGTTGCACTTATTGATAATGACTCAGTTTTATATAGCGCTTTTTTGGACACTCAGACTCTTTACATGTGGTTATTCATACACTCCATACACGGTGGTGATAAACTACTACTGTAGCCACAGCTGCCCTGGGGCACACTAACAGAAGCGAGGCAACCAGTATGTGCCATTGGCCCCTCTGACCACCACCAACCATTCATACACACACCAGACTCATTCTAGGCAATGGGGGTGAAGTGTCTTGCCAAGGACACAACGGCAGCAGACAGTGGGAGTCGATGGTGAAAGTATTATAGTATAGTAGTAAGTAAGTAAGTAAGTAAGTAAGTTTTTATTTATATACCGCCTTTTCACTGCAGATCTGAGTCTCAAAGCGGTTTACAATTGTTAATTTTTTGGGCATTTGTCTCTCACTCCACACAGAGATGGGAGGGGCCAGTACAGGAAGCACATGCCAGAACTATTGGACATATTTTTAGTGGTAGGGGAAACCGGAGTACCCGGAGGAAACCTACGCAGACACGGGGAGAACATGCAAACTCCACTCAGAAAGGCCCTGGTCCGACCGGGATTCGAACCCAGGACCTTCTTGCTGAGAGGCGAGAGTGCTATCCACTCAGCCACCGTGCCGTAGTGTATAAGATATTCCCAAATTGCTCCTTGAGAGGGGCTCCTATGTAATCTACTCCCACTGATGTTTGCTGTCATTGTGTCCTAAGACACTTGTTCCTGGTATTTCAAAAAAATTTATATTGTATTTGTCTTTTGCTTCTCAGGCAAAGAACGGCGTGATCACGAACGGCTTGGTCAGCAATCAGGCCTATTCTCTCACAAAGGTCGATAAGGTAATGATGCACCGTCTTGTAATGAATCCTGAGAACTCAAACAAAAATGGGAAGGATAGGAGAAATCAAACCTTGGACCTTCTTGCTGCGAAACAAACTCTAACCACTGTGCTGATGTTTGGTGTTTGAATATAATCAACATATTTTAATGTCGCTCATCAGGCTCTCTTCGCGTACACACTTTTTAAATTTTCAAATCTATAAATTTGTGTCTTAAACAGCGACTTTTTGACCTATGGCTTTAAAGGGTTCCTAAAAGTAAAAAATAAAGGGTTAAGACCCCACTGTCACCTATATTTGACATTGTAATGCGTTTTATTCATTTACTCTTTCATATGAGGAGCCCTGAGACTGAACTAAACATGCGAGGCAACATTTCAGATTTATGAAGCTAAAATCTAGAAGTCTGTCTGAAAATTTGAGGCAGGCCTCTTCTTTGACAATGTTCAAATCCAGGTTAAAATCAGTTCGGTTTACCTGAGCATAGGCATTGCACCGACACTTTTTAATGTACTGTGATCATTCATAATTTTCATTTCTTGTGATTGTGGGTGAAACACTTTGCGTTGCCTTGTGTATGAACTGTGCTAAATAAATAAGCTTGCCATTTTCTCCCAGGTTTATCACAGAGGTTCCCAAGTAAAGCTGGTGCGTTTGATGAACCCTTGGGGCCAACAGGAGTAGAGCGAAAAGTCAGAAATCTCAAAAATAAATAATATGTGAAAACTAGTGCCTGTTTTCACCTGTCCTGTACCATCAACAGTTCTCTGTGGGACCAGGTGAGCGCAGAGGACCGAGCCAAGTGCACCAAGGACAACAATGGAGAGTTCTGGTATGTGGAGACCAATGGAAACTCATGATTTAGTTTATTTTGTGTTAAATTCTATTTTTGTGTTGCCCCAAATTATGATAATAATAATGCATTGGTTTTAAGATTCTTATCATTGTCATCTGTTTTCTTTATCTAGGATGGAGTTGGAGGATTTCTTCAAAGAGTTTTGCGTGCTCTCAATCTGCTGTAAGAACCCCAACTTCATGGACGGGGACCTGAGCGCTCAGTGGCAGCTGACGACCCATGAGGGGGTCTGGGACACGGCCGGGGGAAAGATCAGCTACGGTGAGCCCACACTAACACTACAACTACAAAGTACTTCATATATTATGTCCCCTGGGAGTTTGATTTAGTTTTAAGAGGGGCTAACCAACAACCACATGGGAGTGTGTCAGTTAGTAGTTTGTTGGATGTTGAAATAAGGCCATGTGGAATACACTGTTAACAGTGATGAATAATAGGTCAAAAAATGCTAAAATTACTGAATCATCATTTTACAACGGGACAAAGCAACATTATCTTGCTTCAAGAAATGTCTCCCTTTTGAATTCGAAAATGAAGCAACAGTTCTTGAAATAAGACTAAACAGCTTTGTCCCATTGGAGAATCTTGTTTTAATCAGACTGTATATATTAACGGACGTAGTCACGCCTATCTCCGCCGTTCTAACCAATGGGCCGAAAATTGGGATCTCATGGAGTGATTCAAAATGGCCGCAGGGGCCAGAAAATGTAAACTCATCTGTGCATGAGTCAGTCGGCACGAGCTCCATTCATTTAAACGAGTGACTTCAATAATTCACAGCAAGTAAACGAGAGTGGTGCAAAAAAAATTCACCCCCCTCAGCATTGACACACATGTGGAACGGAGCTCTGGGCCAAGAGCCAACCTTCAGTTGTACGCCTTCCAGCTAAACAGAACTGTTTTTAAACTGGATTTGAACATTGTCAGCGAAGAAAACATGTTTAACATTTTCAGAAGACTGTTCCAGATGTTAGCTGTGTGAATCCTTTTAAAAACAAAGGTAATCCCTTTAAATTGGGCATTTTTTTCAGGAGAGATTACTTTCTTTGCAGTCAGTTTTAGAATAATAAAAACATTCAAGTCATCCCTCTGGTGGCAGCATTGTGAATTAGAGAAAGATCATGTTTGTTTCACCATATATTCTACTTATTTCACATTCTACAACATCAAATGACATTCATAATCTCGTTTGTTGGTCAAAAGAAACACATTTGTTCTTGAAGTAAAATTGGATAAAAAAAGCTCACGACACTACACATTATGACTGCTTTAAATCGATTATTATTATTTTTTAAGGAGGATTTTTAAAAGTGGTTGCTTAACCAACGAGGATCAGAGAATCAAACATGTCAAACACAGGAAATGCAATGATGAACAAACATATGGGACAGAAACCAATGTCCTTTAATGTTGTTCCAATCAGTGATAATCCACTGTCCTTCGACCCTCCTGCATCAGAGGAACAGCTCTAAAAACCCAGAGGGAGAAACTTTAGAATATGTAAGAATGAGAATGTTTGTCTCTCTCTCTCAGGAGTGGCGAACAGCTTCAGCCGAGAAACCTGCATGGACTTCATTGTTTACATGCATGTATGAACTTGCTTATTCACTCGTTAAATGTGGTGCTTTGTTTGAATGAGTTTCTACTCTTTATTTCAGGCAAAGTCTGGTGATCTGATCAGTATGATGGACCTGGAAGAATTCACGGCTCTCTGGGAAAAGTTGCTGAAATACGAGGTGATTAGAACAATGTGTGTGTCAGTGTTTCCCAAGCAGGGGTGTGCGTCCTCCAGGGTATGCTAGAGCTGCTATGGCATCATTACTCAAGAGTGCACACACACTCACAATAATTTAAAAGAACCAGATAATAATTTTGTTATTAGCATTGGTTTTATACAGTGCTTTTCATGACACTCAGACTCATTATTCATTCACTCCATAATACAATTTTAAACTACTACAGTAGCCAGAGCTTCCCTGGGGCACACTAACACCAGGGAGGCAACCGGTCTGTGCCACCAACCATTAACACATCAGATTCATTTTAATGTGCGTGAAGTGTCTTGCCTAAGGACACAACCAGTTTGGCACTTTACAACCGCAGCCACCCCACTGTGGCACCTGCTGTTCCCAGAAGTCTCCCATCACAGCACTAACAAGGGCCTGCCCTGCACATCTTCAGAGGTCTGACGGGATCTGGCTTTCACCTGCAGGAAAGGCCAGATGCATGTGATGAGGATTTATCCCACAATGGAGATATGTACATTTGGCATAACTATGATCACTCAGGGCAAAAAGACAAATGTGCAAACGATGAGTAAAATGCAGAGACACATTTCCCTATGAGGACAATAAAGTACACAAACGCACATTAAAATAACCATGGCAAGGGTTGAGCTGAAGCCACTTTCCGTGAAAAAAATGACTAGAACCACTGAGGATTATTTCTTTGTGCAGAAAATCTACTTGGAGGCTGACGATAACTACAACGGCGTCCTGGAACAGGCAGAGCTGAACCAAGCCATGAAAACTGCAGGTGAATATGAAAAACACTGCTGCGTTCACATTTGTTGGTCTGGTTCACTTGGAGATGAAATACTTAATGAAAATAATTGAACTGGCTCGAGTGATTTTTACATTCACAGATGAAGTGAACCAGACTTGGTCCAGTATAAAAGGAACTCTACTTAAATTGTATTAAAGTCAATATTTATTTTGTGTCGCCTAAAATTACAAGTTATTATGCTAAAGATGGAGAATGTGCTCAAAATAGGATAAATACCACTCGATTCATGTTATGATTACCTCATATTTTATCTTTTTTTTTTGCAGTGTACAAAGTATTGTCAGCTACCGTCCACCGCAATATTCAACTATAGGCTCTCTGAAGTGTTGTGATGTCACAAGAACAAAACCTCCGCAGCCCCCCCGCTCTGCTTCAAGGCTCTAATGATGAACTGTCTCTCTTGTCTTTAACCAGGTTTACACTTCAGTGAATCGTACCCGAAAAAGGCCATGTTCCGCTTTACTAACTGAGCCTCTGCAATCAACTTGCAGAATTTCTTGGCCTTAATGATTCAAGCGGATCATTTGACAAGTGAGTTACTCAAACGGGACGAGTTCTATGTGCTATTTGACAAACACTCAAATAGAGGCTTTTCCATGGAGCTGGTGCTGGTTTCGACACTAGTCCAGACCAAGGCAGTAGATGGTAGTTCTCTTATGGGCGCTCTATCCCACGACTTTCAGGCTCAAAGGCCAATGCCCTACCAAACTATTTAGAATACACAATATCATCATGTACAAGAAAAACAGGGTGAAATGGGTTATAGGATTGTTAAAAGGTATAAATTGTCGCATTTGTTTTACATGTATGGTTTTTGGGGCCCCACCTATAAGCTAATGCAGCTTCATGGGAGTTCCCTTTGTCAAAACACCAACAAAGTTTACAATTACAATGTGTATGAATATGACAGTTAAACAAAGCTAAATTGCAAACCCAAAAATCCCCAAACCAGTGAAGGTTAAAGGTAAAACTGACAGACGGACCACTGCAGCCACACCTTCCATCCATACCTATAGATTACTTTGTTTATATTCTGGTCAACTAGTGATAAAGTGATTTCTTCCAGATTTCTGAGCCGTGCCTCAGCGGGAACTGTCAAGCTGACGGCGGAGGAGGTACACACTGCAACACTCGTCGTTAGTTGATCAAATTCACTCTATTACAAATTATCTTTTTGTTTCTTTTTTTTTTCCCGCAGTTCTTTGACGGCTTTCTTTGAGTCCAAATCAAACGCCACAGCACCAGGATAATCCACTCCTGCTTTTGTCCGTTCTGGGATAAATTGTCAATAAAACCATCTTTTATTGCAAAACTGGGGTAAAGCTGGGTTTATTTTCTCTTTTTGGGTGTTTAGATTCAGCCAGTTAGCATGACTATATAAGGTTTAGCATTTACAGATGCAAAAAGTTATGACATATTGGTCAGCAATTGCTCAAATTTGACAAACAAATATCTTTGAGTACGTTCGGAATGCCTTAAACAGTTCTTGAAATAAGACTAATGGGCTTCGTCCCATTGGTGAATCTGGTTTGAAGACAGTCAGTCTACTCAATTTGAGAGAAAAAAAAAAAACTCATCAAATTATTTCCTATTTGACCATCTTTCAGTGTAGCTTGGTTTAGTGGTACCTGGAAAATATGAGTGGGCAGTACATTGGGCCAGCATGCACCTGGGTGGGTCTGTGGTTTTTACGGGCAATAAAGCATTTGGACAATATTTTTGAATTGAGCGTTTGTTTGTATATACTGTGTGAACCCCATACTCAAGGTCAATTCATATACTTTTACAAGCTCTTCCACGACTTTAAAAAATATAGTGGTAGGGTCAACATCTGGAGATGGATGCAGAGGAGAAATTTTCTAAGGACAAAGCGTGGAGTAACTCAGCCTCACTGTAGGGGGAGATCATCTTGACTGTACAGACGGACAATGCTAACCTCAGAGCTCAATGAAACCAAATAGGGAAGAGGTCATGGTGGAGGCTTTTCTTCAACTCGCTCTTTCACATTGAGAAAGGGAGACGCTCTTGGACGGACGGGCTAATGATCCAGGACCTAAGCTACAGAACAAGGACCAATGCGCCGCAGAGCATGGACAGGTCCGGTGCTGGACTGAAGCGCCCCCGGGCGGGTCGGGCAGGACAGTCCGCAGGTTTAGATGGAGAGGGCCGGTTCAGAGGTCCTGTTGTAACCATCCATCCATCAATTTTCTACCCTTTAATCCATTTCTGGGTCAGGGGGGTGACAGTCAGAGATGCTACCCAAGTCTCATAGCACCAGCCCCTGTTGTAGCGTCATGAAACAGACAATAGTAATTGGAGTGATTATTCAAATAATGCTTGGTCTTAAGTTTTGTTCTGTTTTGTTTCTTCGCAAAACATAGTATTGATAAAAACTATGGCTGCAGCTAAATTCATTAACCCCGCTTTCATGTCCTTTTTATAATCAAATTTAGATGCATCAAGTTTCATCTGGAGAAATGGACGACATGCCTCGAAAATGCCACTTAAAGGACAATATTCACAACGTGTTTATTCTGCTTTATGAACATGACCTTTAGTTGTACGCAGAACCTTCTTTCAGAGAGACGCCAGCTCCAACTGGCGTCTCCAATGTGTTTAATGTTCAATGTCAAATACAGTAAATGTACATGCACTGTCCTGTGTGGCAAAGATCCATCCGTTGTGACATCAGTGGATCAAACCGAGTAAACTATTTGTACAGAGCAAAATCCCCAAATACAGCTTCAGCTCATAGACTAGAGATGGACACTGCTTATACTCCCAATCTCAATGAAGCCAAGTATCTCATGATGCTTGACAGGGAGTCGATGAAGAGCTCTGAACTCTTACTTTGGTGCAGTTATTTATAAAATCACCACACTGCAAAAAGTGAAGAATAAGTAAATTGCTCAAAAAAAAACATCCTTATAATAGCACATTCTGACTGCCAAGATTTGCCAATGGGACAAGGCAAAATTATCTTGGTTTATTTTCTGATTCCAAGAGGGACATTTCGTGTGTCCTTTTTAAAACGGTATGATTAAAAAGCTTTAAGACAAAACCACTTAATTCAAGAATGTATCAGAATGTGGTAAATAGAACCACATGTGTCACACTCACTTTACTGAGTCACTGTGTCCCAGAGCCTCATGCTACTAATGTACAAATGCAGACACTGAAATTTCCCCACTGTGGGACGAATGAATCCATATCTTATCTTTTTTTACAGTGCACAGTTTTAGCACAGCATCAAATATTCAAACTGTGCTAAAAAACTGTACACATGGACATCAGATTAAAAACTGTCACTGAACAATAGAGACTTCCAAAGGATTCCAAAAATAATCAAATGTATTCTTGCATTGTCATCAGCTGGCGAACGATTGGCAGAAAAACTCCTCATTAAAAACACGAATACACATTTCTTCTCTCTCGCAGAAAATACAGCTCGGCAAAGCACAGGAGGCTTTGGATTTGTCACAAACACAATAGATTTTAATTAAGAAATCTATAATTAACATTTTCAACATTGTTCCCTCACTACATCCGAAATGCTTGCAACACATTCACTTGAGAAATGGAGCCGCAGGATGTGGAAAGAGGTAGTACTTTGAAACCTCAAAATAAAGCAATTTATATGGAATATTCTCAGTAACTTTAACAGTAACTACCAACCTGCAATTCTGTAACGTGCCAAATATAAAGGGTTTGCAGTTTTGTACAACCATGTTTTAGTGTAAAATATGTATGCAGGAAGCGCATGCCAGACCTATTGTACATGTTTTTAGTGGTAGGGGAAACCGGAGGAAACCTACGCAGACACGGGGAGAACATGCAAACTACACTCAGAAAGGCCCTGGTCCGACCGGGAATCAAACCCAGGACCTTCTTGCTGAGAGGCGAGAGTGCTATCCACTCAGCCATCGTGCCGCCCTATATGTAATACTAATCCAGCCTAAATAAATTCAGTCTGGTAGTCTTCCTGCTGGAGCCCATCCAAGCCAGCCCCCTTTGACCCTCAGCCAATCACACAGCTCTGCCAACCTACAGTAGGTCCCATTTCGTTTTGTCGCCTTTCACGTGTGAATCACACGAGACTCACGTGTGATTCACGTGTCTTTTATTTATTTTTTCCCCAGTGATGCTGCAATGACCCAAACAACCACCAGGTGGCACTTGTGGCTATTGCCCCCTTGCATGTGACGTCCCGGCCACGCCCACTCTCCATGACAGACGGCAGAAGTCTAACTGCGAGCCTACGGACACCTGACCAAAACAACCTGTTTCAGCGCATTACAGCCACAACTGTGACATTTTGCAGTGCGGTTGATTATACTAACAGGCAAGGACATAAGCTTTTTTATCTGATACCTGCTCGTCATGAAGACAGAAGACGACGATGGCCAGCTGCATTCAACCAAAAGGACTGGGACCCATCCAAGTACTCCCTAATATGCAGTGAACACTTTTTACAAGATTAATTCCATTAATTTGGAGGACGATGACACACGTAAAACGTGTCTCTTACTACTGTCCTGTATGTGCGCTGCAACATTGACATTTTTATCTTTTAAGTCAATTGCGTGTCTCACTATTTTCCTCTCCGTCAGTACGTATCATGTTTGGCTGTAGACAGAAAAGCCACAGAAAAGTGGACTATTGCTAATGCTACCAGCAAAATTTACATATGAATCTGCTCCAGTGTGAGGGGATGCATTGTTAACCATAATGATAAAGATCATGTAGGGTGAATTTGGGCAAAAATAGACATTTTATTTAATTGATAAAATTGACTGGGGGGAGAAGGTACGGGTCAACATCCAGTTAGGCGATCCTTAACTTCTCCAAATACCACTCTTTGTGAGCCCTGACCTGATGTCCTACTTCCACCTATAACGTAATCGAACATGTGCTTGAAGCAGCCACTTCTCGATTTAGGAGAGGAGTCATGTTTTTAAGAGTTGTAGTCCGTTTTGCTCTCGCAGCAATGCTAGTTTCCAATACTTCCGTCGTAAGCTCATTCACAATCACGTGACTGGATGATGTTGATGTGTAACCAGATGATTTTAGTTGTTAATGCAGTTACGTGGAGTGTCCAGCAGGGGGAGACGCTCTTGAGCTTCACCTAGGCTACGTCTTTCCTCATTCGTAAACCAGCAAGGCTTGAGGAAAGACGTGTCCTGGTCTTATTTTTATTTTATCCCCTTTTCAGGTATGGTATGGTATGCAGAATGTCATAAACCAGTCATTATTGTTTTATATTGAGTCAATGTATCTGTGAACCAAATCCAGTGTGATAATTTAGTCTAGTAGGCTGTTGTTTCAAGGAGCTCCGCTAGTTGCTAACCAAATTAGCATTAGCTTCTCGTTGCTAGCGCGGGAACAGTGGAAATTGTTGAATGTTAATTTAAATGTGTTCAAATGTAAGAAACATTGTTTTTCTCTTTCATAAACCAGCAAGGCTTGAGGAAAGACGTGTCCTGGTCTTATTTTTATTTTATCCCCTTTTCAGGGCTATTACAGATGCATCTGGTCAATATGCACGGGGAGGCGTGACGTCATTTCCTGTTAACAAAGATCAGCCCGTTCACTTCCTGCCTATGGTATCCTATGGCCAGTGTTGTGCGTGAACGAGTTCAAAAGAACGCGTTCATTGAACACGCTCATTTTTTCGTGAACATTGAACTGAACGCAACACATTTTTAAAAAAAGAACTTGAACGTGAATTAGTTCATTTTATGTGTCATGAACGGCAGACATCACTATGAACGTTGGAATCTGTTTTCTCTTTTGAAACGCAACGAGAGAAAGTTCCTCCCTCCTGTATTCTCGCACCTTTTCCGCCGAAATCTAAAAATTCCTACGGTTTCCACCGTCGGTGAACGCACCCCGACTCCGTGTTGCGGTGCGGCGCTGTGAGCTGGTGCTTTTCACATGTGCCCGAGTCGTGATGAAAACACAGGGTGAGTTAGCGACAAAGTTCACACGGTTTACATTTGACATAAAGTATAGACACACGCACTGCAGCGCATTACTGTTTGTAGTTTATGAGCAGAGATGGAGCAACTCCGTATTGCTCCCATTGAAAACCATGTAAATCTTGTCTATTTTGTAGTCAAAAGACTCTCCTCCTGTGGGTGTACAGGAGATATATAATATAATATATAATATATATATATATATATATATATATATATATATATATATATATAGCTCGTAGTGTGAAAAAAATATGTATTTAAGTATCTCACGAAAAAAGTAAAATGAACTTAACTTTGAACTAGTTCAGAATTAAAAATGTGAACTTTGAACGTGAACTGTTCACTTTGAGCATGGATGAACTGAACTTGAACTAGTTCAGAAAAGCTGTGAACTGGCACAACACTGCCTATGGCTTTTAGGTGGGTTTTAGTGACGTTTTTTGGTAATTAGATTGATACATTCAGCTGTGAGACTGACCCAAAAGTGTCGCTGTGCTTTCTCTCTGAGGTAGAGCTTTGACTGTGGCCACTCAGAGAGATTTGTAAACTTTATAAAAACACAATGACAGCAAAATCAAAGGGCACTGTTGTGTCCCAAAAATGCCCAATATCCTCACAGTTTAATTCCCGTTTGAGCATAATTGGGAAATCCGTGTAAACCACTGCTGAACTCCAGTGAGACTCAAGCCGTTTCCCGCGAACAGGAAGTGAAGTTGGGTTGTAGCTAAAACGCGGAAGCGGCGCGTGCATAGAGCCACTTAATCATTAACCCTTGTATTATGTTAAGGGTCAATTTGACCCATTTCAGTTTTTGTGTTGATCAAAGTACCAGTTATCCTTTCTTTTTCTTGCTGAAATTTGGTGACTTTTCCTCATCTAGGGTCATGAACTGGTGTGTAAAATTTGGACACTTTGATGGGTAGTGGAATGTCTGTGCAGAGTTTGTATACAAAGATGATGTTGCGGGTCATTTTGACCCAGACGCTTTAATGTGGGCAAATAGTTGTTCAGATCCAAAAAAACATGTCTCTTTGACATTGTATTTTGATTGCCTCTGAGACCCAGAGCCAGGTGTGTGAAGATAGGGAACTTTCTCACACTTGTCCTTGAGATGTCATCTCTTTTGCTTAGCGTACATCGTACTGGCAACTGATTATATCCGTCGCCTTTGAGTTGCTTCCCCGCACACAGCGACTATGTGGCGAAAACAGGCAACTCCTAGTAGCAGGCCAGTCTCGGGAATAACAGCGCGTACATCGACAGCAACTGGCCTCAACTACAGTGTGTTTTCTGGCATAAACTGTAGAGAGCGCGCAATACACGCAATACACACATGTTGTTGGAGCGCACACATCGGGTGATACATGTATCTCCGGATCTGAGGACAAATAGTTGCCGAAAAGTAGAACACGGGCAACCAACTGAATCCGGAGATCAACTGTTTATCTCCAGTTGTAAGAGCGCTCACATCGACCGATTTCAACTGATCATCTCCATCATCTCCTCTCAGCTGCCAAAAGCCGCCTGGAAACTAGTTGTCTCCAGTTACTCTTGTCGATGTACGCTAGGCTTTTGACAAACTCACCAAAAATGAGCTCCTGAAGGATGACATCTGAGGAGGCTTTTTCACAGATGGGATAATGATGTAGAGGTAGAGATTTCAGAAACAGAGGATTTTTCAGAGACAGAAGACAATGTTATTGCTGATCCAGATTGTCAATTTTCCTACGATAAGGAGGATTCAGAGGATGAATCTTTGGTCAAGGAAGGAGGATGGGAGGAATGAAGTAACGTAGGAAGGAAAGAATGGAGAAAGGAAGGAAGGAAGGAAGAAAAAAGAAGGGAACAGAGGAGGATGAACAGAGAGAAGGAAAACAGGAAGAGAAGACGGAAGGAGAAAGCATGGCAGGAGGAAAGAAGGAGGGAAGAATTGTCATTTTGACCCGAGAGGAGGAAAAGAGGATTAGACTAAATCTTTCTTAAATATAGCGTTGGAATTAAAAATGTATTGTATGTCACTTTTCTAAATATTTATATAACCTAAAATAAAGTTGTTATTGGTTTAACCTGTTTTCTTGACTGTTTTGAGTGCATTTACACAGTGCGGGTCAAAATGACCCGCAACATAATCAATGTCATTTTTTTCAACATAATACAAGGGTTAAGAACTTGTTCAAGGTCTGTATTTGAAAAGTCAAACAAAATTCTTTATAAACCTGGAAAAAACAACTCTGAGTGAACTGAGGTTAAAACAGTTTTGCAGTGAAATCGTAGCTTTAGCTCAACAACAGCCATCATTGCGTTTGATAATGTACTTGATGCTAGCTCCGTATACTGCGACTCTGATGTGATTTTGTGCCCCATTACCCTTTGGCTGCAGAGCAAATAGAAACGCTATACTGCAGCGATTGTGCGTTGGGTGTTTGTGGTTCGGAACAGCCTCATTTTGTCTAATATCACAAGAGCAGACTCTCTCCTTTCTGCGTCTCCAAGGAAACTCATGCTGTGTTTTCCATGTATACTAAAAAAACACATTTATTAAACTGGGCAGAGAGTTGGCTCAAAACGCCTCTTCAAGCAGCTGGACTCGCTTGAGTAATGTAGGCTGAGTGGAAAATGGTATGTTGGTTAAAGTCTCCGATGGGAGATAAAAATAAAAAAAACATTGGGTTTTGTACCATATTTGCAAGAATGTGTGATTTATGCCAATATTGCACTGTTCGAGATAGGTACTAGCTGTAAAAATAATAATGTATGCAGTTTTATACAGTGCTTTTCAAGACACGCTCAGAGATGCTACACATGTCAATATTCTTTCACTCCAGACACGGTGTTGATAAACTAAAACGGTAGTCACAGCTGCCCTGGGGCACACAGACAGAAGGAAGGCAACCAGTGTGTAACATCAGTCCCTCTGACCATCACCAACCATTCACACACACACACACCAGACTCATCCTAAGTGTTTTGCCTAAAGATACAACCACAGTTTGGCACTTTTTTTTTCTCTCTCCCTGGTATGTTTATGGTCTCTCTTTGGTCTCTCTGGTCTATCTCTGTGGTCTCTTTCTCTGGTTTATCTCTTGATGATGTCTCTATCTGGTCTATCTCTGTGTATATCTCTGGTCTCTTCCTAGTTGCTCTCTCTGTCTCTCTCTCTCTCTCTCGCAGCTTTTTGCACACTCTGAACTCCTTGGCTTGGTAAAAATGATGCCAGAAAGGACCCTGGACAGAGCCATCTCCTGTCTGCAAGAAGTCCTGATGCCTCACCAGCCCCTCGCTCAGCAATAGCCTCTGGTCACACATCTTTAACCACGGAACGGCTCTGGGCTTTAGCTACAGCGTGTTTGCCAAATATGTGCCACCCAACAGACTGCTCTGGCCTGGAGCTCGACACCTGTATACAAACCGTTCCCAGGATACATTCTGTTACAGAGAATAGGCCTCGAAATGTGTCTCAATCTGAGTAAAAGAAAAAGTCTGTATCATTGCTTCAGAAATGTGTGCGGTGTCAGTAAACATCTTTTAAAACTCAGACATGCTTCTAACTGTTGTGGAATTTGAGTTATTCCTTTGGCACAGGGCTTATCATTCAATCAATGTTTTTCTTAGTACAGCCGAAAATCACAACAGCTGTCATTTCAAAGGGCCTCCTAAAATTGTGGATTCGGCAATAGCACATTAGCAAATCATGTATATCATGTGAATTTGACACGTACAATGTATGCTTGTTAAATTATTGCTATCTTTGTATTTTGACGAATGCAAATGTTGTTGGCTGGAGTGAGAGAAATGTTATTGCGCTGTTGATGATCATAGGTTTGTTTTATTGTTGCTGCAAATCTGTGTGGGAGCTGTTAGATTCTCTAATCTGTGTTGGTGAATTGTCGACTTGGAGAACATACACACACACACACCCACACACAGACACACACACCACACACGACAAACGCATAGACAGACACACACCCACACACATCCACACACACACACACATAGACAGACACACATACAGTACACACACATCCACACACACACACGCAGACAAAGACTATTCCAATGCCACCCCTGTTGGCATTGGAATAGTCTCCACTCAACTCCATAATCATCTCAAATCAAATAGTCTCTATGAAAAATTCCAATCTGGTTTCCGCCCCTCCCACAGCACAGAAACAGCGCTCATCAGAGTGACCAATGACCTTCTCATGGCCTCTGACTCCGGTTCCACTTCCATCCTCATTCTTCTCGACCTCACTGCTGCGTTCGACACCATTGACCATAACATCCTTTTACATCGTCTCCAGCACCACATTGGCCTCTCCCACACTGCCCTCCACTGGTTTCACTCCTACCTCACTGACCGAACCGAGCATGTGGTTCTGGGGGACGCTAAATCTCGCCCCCACTCTGTCACCTGTGGGGTCCCCCAGGGCTCCGTGCTTGGTCCCACCCTCTTCACCATGTACATGCTTCCCCTCGGGTGTGTCGTCAGCAGGCATGGAATTCACTTCCATTGCTATGCTGACGACACACAACTTTATCTCAAAATCACTCCATCCACCCCTCCCTCTGCATCTCTCTCCTGTCTTACCTCCTGCCTGGAGGAGATAGGAGCATGGATGAGGCAAAACTTCCTGCAGCTGAATGGCTCAAAAACAGAAGCCATTCAAACTGGTACTCCCCATCAACTTCACTCTTCTCCCATCACCTCAATCTCTCTCTTTGGCCACAGCATTCCCCTCTCTCCCTCTGTAACCAATCTCGGGGTCAAGTTTGACCCCCACCTTTCCTTCGCAAATCACATACATCACATCTGCAAAACTTCCTTCTTCCACCTCCGTAATATTTCAAAACTCCGCTCTTCTCTCTCTCTCCCGGCTGCAGAGAAGCTCGTCCATGCCTTTGTCTCCTCCAGGTTGGACTACTGCAACGCACTCCTCATCGGGATCCCTGGCAGGAGCCTTCAAAAGCTCCAGTACGTACAAAACAGCGCGGCCAGGGTCCTGATGAGGGTGCGGAAGCATGAGCACATCACCCCCATCCTTCACACCCTCCACTGGCTCCCCGTTCACCTCCGTATAGAATACAAGATCCTCCTGCACACCCACCACTGTCTCCACGGTGATGCCCCCACCTACCTCACTGACCTCCTCACTCTACACTCCTCAGGCAGAACCCGGTCAGGCCAACAGCACCGTCTGCTCCCGCCCAGGACACGGCTCAAGAAAATGGGGGACCGGGCCTTTGAGGCCGCTGCTCCCCGTCTGTGGAACGCCCTCCCGGACCACCTCAGGGCCCCACAGACGGTGGAAGCTTTTAAAAAGGGACTCAAAACCCATCTTTTTACTAAAGCGTACTGCTAATTTTTTTATAGTCTTTTATCTGATTTTATGTGTTTGCTTTTATTTATGCTTCTGTTTGTAGCACTTTGAGATTTGATGTCAAATATAAAGTGCATTATAAATAAAATTTATTATTATTATTATTATAATTAAAACAGCATTGGTCCATTAGATCAACATTAACCAATGTTCACAGGAATTAAGCAAATGGGTAATTAAATGTCATTACAGACAGTGTACATGCACCTGGTCTTGACACAGACTCAGGACCCCGGGATCTCAGACTGGTCCTGGTCTATAGGGTATAGTTGTTAAAATTTATAACAATCATTAATCCCTTTTTCTTAGTGGAGTTTGAATGTTCTCCCCGTGTCTGCCAAGGTTTCTTCCGGTTTCCCCTACCTCTAAAAACTTGCACAATAGGTAAATGCTCCTGCTCCAGTAGTTCTGATCTAGCCTAGTCATCCGCAATGATTATTTCTCTACATGTATGCCTGTGTCTGATCCTAGTGGCTGCGGTTACCTCGGTTGTATCCCATCCGACCATTCAGCGAGAATTAGTGAAGGCTAAACTAGTGTTATCCTTGACTCTAAATAATCGTTGTAAATAATCAATAGTGAGAGCCAAGCTTGCAGTTTGTGATTGATAAAATGCTTTCTATCGAGTGAGGGAATTAATTAGTTTACGTATAGGGAGGAAAAAGAACTCGCCTTTACTTTGTGTTACCGTGAATAGGAAAAGCACTCTACAAATAAAGATTGATTGATTGGAAGAAACAAACTGCACATTTACAGGAGAGAAATAGCTTCAAACGTTGCATTGTCTTCAGAAATCTGCAATTAAAACTGCTTAAATTGCTTGATTTCTTTGAGTCACATACAAAAATATTGAATAAGAAATATGTCCCAGAGTCTGCCGCTGGCTCAAACCAAATTAGCTTTGTGTGATTTGAGTTGAACGTGTGAGATCATGGTGGCCTCACCCTTCTCCAGCCGACTCCATTGTTCTTCCATTAAACCTGACCAAAGCACAACACTGAACATTTGACATGGTTCTATCCAGCAGCCACTTTTATCAGCACACTTTACCATACGTATTAGCACATGCAATCTACTTCCACTCCACAATATTGAGCCGTTACTGTTGCACATATAAAAACGGGATTGAGCCATCGACGTTATTGTTCGGGCCTTTTTCATTTGCAGTGGAAAGCTAGCAAGCCCTGCTGACTGCCACTCTTTCTCTCTCTGTACGAGCTCATATAGAAAACGGTAAATCTGTCGCCCCATAAATCACTGTCCTCGCTGCCTATAGGTGCTCCCTGCCTTTGGTTCACGGCAGTTCCAGAGCGTGGGACCCGGCAGTTTTGATGGAATTGTACCTTTCCCATTTGAGGGACTCTGTTATGGCCGAATGTACAATGATCCAAAGCTCTGTGTGATTTAGAAAAGTGAAAAAAGACGTCTGTGATAATTGCATCAAAAGTTAATGCAAGCTGTGGAGAAGAGCTCAGCCAAACCTGCGAGGAGGCCTGCTGCAGTTCCCCAACAACAGACATAGTTTGAAAGTTTCCCAGGGTAGAGAGGGGTGAGGGAGGGAGGGAGGGAGGATGCAGAGAGAGGAAAGTCTTTATCTAATTTACAAACACCTGAGTTCATATCTTGAAAGTTGTGCGGGTGTAACGTTGGTTTGCCCTTGTCGAGATACACTGCTCATAGAAGGCAAGAGTGATGGCACATTAGATTCAACGGCGGAGATAGACGTGACTACATCCGTTAATATACTCTATGGTCCCCGGGCGCTGTACTACGGGGACCACTGCTTCTGACGGAAGCTTTAGTGGCAGCCCATCAGGATGGGTCAAATGCAGAGGACAAATTTCCCTACGGGGACAATAAAGTGCCCATTTACACTTACAACATTTAGCTCACTTCTACATAAAACTGTCACATGTCATTTCTTTTCCTGCGACACTTTAAGCAAACAGTGTGAAAGATATTTAGTTCCTCATTTCCTCTTTCCAACAAAGTGTCTTGGTGCTACGTAGATTTAGTAAACTCTCCGTGTTTGGTCGGCTCTCTTCAAACTCTGCGCTCATCCTGGGTACACCAGCTTTGTTTGGGCAAGTCTGAACGTGTAAACAAAGAACTATGGATCTCTCTCTGGCTCATTCACTGTGGTTACAACAAGGTGAGAGAGGAAAAAGTATAATCTAAAAGCGGCTATCAGCACTGGCAGTTCACTGAGGCCATAACACCAGGAAACATAACTACTGAGAAAATGTTGTAAAAGGTGCATTAGCGCTAAACATGCTCCAATAGCAGCTGTGAACAAGAGCCATTGCGGTTTACTGTGGGCCGAGGTTTTGGGCAATTTCACTCCGTCAGAAAGTATCAAAATGTCTCCACTGTGGAATGAAAAACAGTTCTCACAGTAATCACAGTAATTCCTTTGAAATAAGTGCTTTAAAAGGTTAAGAATTTTGTATTTTGTTGAGATTGGACAATGGTGGCATCGTTTAGGTTTTGTATTGTGTCCTGATACAATAGGCTCGAGCTACACAATCAATTAGTTAAGAATCCCTCCTGAGGCGGACTCAAGTCTAATCTGTTTAGTTTTGAGACAATCATTATCTACGGTTTTCAGCAAAGACATCCACGACTCAGGGCACATTTTCATTGATCAACGCAAGTTCTTGGCTTTGGTCAATAATAACCTGAGGCGGTGTCATTGTTAAATACATTTAGTCCATCTCTTCAGTCATTAAATCAAAGCTAATCACCTTTGTGTAAATGTAAATAATGTTGACAATTATCATGGGTGGGTTGTAATGGTGGTGGTCAGTCAGGTCTGTAACTGCCAAACAAGACAACAAGGAAGGACTAGAATGACGTCTTCCTTCAACCACTCACATCAAAGCACAAGACTCCCGTGGGTTGCCAAATGCCGGCAAGATTTTCCAGCCCAAAATCAGCAAGAATGCCCAAAAAAAAAACCACCCAGAATAATTTTTGGGCTAAAAACGTAATCAACTTGGCCTATCATAATTCTGTTTATTGTCTTTCTGTTTATTTATTACATACAAGTCTCTTGAAGAAAAGTATGCGGGAAACAACCCAACCTGGCAACCCTGCTGCATAGTGTTGTAAACAGGAACACCTAAACCAGTGCTTAAACCAAACTTTACACGAACATTTGACTCTTAAAACACACATATAACAAAATAGAACCATCAACATCTCGCCTCATATTGCATTAAAAGTGACATCCGTGTCTTAATTCAAACGTATTTAAACTTTTAAAATAATTCGCGGACTTCATGTCTGCCATCTTGGATTGCTTTAGCTGCTGCGTGAGACAAGCTTGAGAATGCGGTGCAAACCCCACGTAACATCGGCAATCCTGATTGGTCAATTAAAGATAATTTGATGAAGGAGTTGGCTATGGCCTCAAAATCAGACCCATGTGGTTCAGCCTGACGCCTCTGGTGGAGCATGGCGGAACTACAAGGGTCTGGCGAGAGCCAGGCTAGGCCCAAATATCACAATACTATCGAATCATCATATTTTGGCCATTTCTCGCCTAAAGAACAACAACAGCCATAGACACCTGACACAGAACAATCTCAGTACTCAGAAATGTGCATGCTTCCAGACTTGAGGCTCTAATCGACCTCCAGGGTTTCTAACCTACAGTAGTATAAAAAAGTGAAAGATGCAGTTGTTATTTTGCCCCCAAAAGCCCAAACAAGTGAGAGGCATTCATTAAAAAAAACAGCTAAACAACATATTGCTGGTTTCATTTAGTTAGTGTGGTATATAGACTAAACTATGAGAATTGTATTGATGTGGCAATATTTATGGAACTGACGGCGTATCCCCCTTAAGTCCTCTGATGCAGCGGCAGCAAAATGTCAAAGACAGAGACAGAAGGTGAACCCAGTGCTGCTCCTGGGGGACAGGGCACAGCAGATTAGCCTAATGCGCATGTTTCGCATTGCAAGGCTGTAAATCAACATTGCAATAATACAATTACCAAGGTTTCTAATCCCCTCCGCATTGGCTCGCATCTTTAGCCTTTCATGTACGGGTCATAAAGTCCATATCAATGATCAAGAATAATGTGACGTCTTTTAAAGCAATTGTACGGCGACCCCCTAGTGTGATATCGATGTCCATGTTAAGTGGTGTAGTGGGGTGTAGCTGACAGGGACCACTTTAATCAGCTGGATGTGGCTCTGGGGAGACCTCGCTCACTCGGATGGCGGTGGCCTCGGCTCTCGCTGCTTCGTCTTGTGCTAATGTGGAGAGATAAAAACGACACGTATGCAAAAATCCTCTTTTGAGCTTTCAACTATGTGACAAAATATTCCCATCAAGAACCAAATGCCTCATTGATTTATTAGTCGACAAAAAGGCGGTGTAACAAACAGATTCATATTAAGATACCCACACCCACACACCCATACACATACACACACGCACACACAAGCAAAACACATACACACACACATACAGTACACACACATCAGGCCTAGACAGGAGGAGGACACAGTGTAGGTAAACAGAACATCAGAGGATCAAATGCAAGAACTGAAGGTGCAGAAACACAAAATAAGCAGTTCCCAGACAAGGTTCCAACATTGTTTGTCAACACTATCTGCTCTCATTTTCTTGCAAATTTGATCCTCTGTCTTGCAGGAATCTTTATTTTCTCACACTCTATCTGCTACAAAATGGAGGCGGGACACTATAATTGTAGCTCTGTTGCTACAAAGTGGCCACAGCTGCCCTGGGTCAGAACGCTGCGGCCACAGAGGATGCAGAATCCCGTTCGAGTACAACATACAGCAAACAGCTGGTATCCTATGTGCCGAAGAAAGGCAAGAATGTGGTACTCATGAGTAACAGAACGAGGATGGAAGAATGTGTGACCAGGAACATCACAAACCAGAGATCATCATGGGTTATAATGCCACAAAAGGAGGGGTAGACAACATGGACAAGTATTAACCATAAATATGGTTTATAATGCTTGTAATTGGGATAAGGTACACATCTTCAGAATCAGAATCAGAATCAGAATCATTTTTATTGCCACGTAAGTTTAGTTTAGTTAGTTTAGTTTAGTCTTTATTTGAAGGGACAGTGTACAGAGACATTAAGCTCAAAGACAGATATGTTCTGCACCAGATTATAGCTAAACAGCTAGTTTCCATCTGCAGTCCCTGGTTACATCAATAAAATGCATGGATACAGTAATGTACAATCCTAAAAAATAACTTTGCAATACAACACATTCTCTCTAATACAGACGCACACATTTAGCCTCATACCTGTTTGTTAAAACCACACTTCATTCACAGCATCACAGCATCACACCTACACAATACACATGTCACAACCACACATTCAGATGATACATTAACACATTCAGTACATTTCTCATCATACATAAATCACATACATCAGTTTCTAATCATACATAGATCATATACATCAATTTCTAATCATACAAAGTTCACACACATCAGTCGTCCTGGTCACACACCTCAGGGTTTGTGTGAGCAGCTTTGATTGCTCCATAACCATTTTTTAAGTTCTACTGTAAATGTAGGATAGTCTGATTGACTCTTCAGGTCTGTAGTGAGCTCGTTCCATTCCTTTATTGCTTTATATGAAAATGCTGATTGGGCAAAAGCAGTTTTACACCTAGGTATGCTGCACTGCCCCCTGGTGGAGGCTCGTGTGGTTCTAGTTGTCGCAGAAGATGTGAACTGAACAAAGTGTTTGAGTGGAGCTGGTGCGGTGTTGTTTAGTATTCTGTGAGCCAATCGTATGGATGCATATCTTTGAATATTGTCAAAATTTAAAAGTCTGTATTTTTGTAGAACTAAACAGTGATGGTGATGTCGTGGTTTCCGGTCGAGGATCTTAAGTGACTGTTTGTGCAGAGTTTCCAATGACCTCAGAGTGGTTTTATTTGCCTGGGACCAACAGGTTATACAATAATAAAAACGAGACATGATCATTGCATTAAAATAAGTTTGGGCTCCCTCCAGTGTTAGTGAGTTCCTGATACATTTGAAAGTTTTTATGGTGTATTTGAGGCTAAGGCTCATCTGTTTGATATGTTTTTTGAAGCTGAGGGTGGGATCTAAAATTACACCCAGGTAACGATATTCATTAACATTTTTTACCACCTCCCCTTTTATGGTTATGTTTGGAAACACGGTTGTTTTGTTTTTATTTACAAAGTACATTGTTGCTGTTTTACTGATGTTTAATGTGAGACAGGATTCATGTAGCCATATTGCAACCTTCTCCATTGCTACAGTCAGTTTATTGGCTACTATTTGAGCGTCCCTTCCCCATGTATAGATGACCGTATCATCTGCATACATCTGGATTTTGACATCCTCACATACAGATGGCAGGTCATTTATATACAGTGAGAAGAGAAGAGGGCCGATGTTGGAGCCTTGTGGTACCCCAATATCAGTAGCACTGATGTTGGATGTGGTGTTACTGATTCGGACACATTGACTCCGGCCAGATAGGTAAGACTTAATCCAGGCCAGAGTATTAACAGACAGTTTGAATTTGGTTAATTTTGTAAGTAACGTGGGGTGACTAACGGTGTTAAATGCTTTGCGAAGGTCTAAGAATATTGCTCCTACTACTCCTCCATTATCAAGCTTTCGTTTTAATGTTTCAATGAGTAGGCAGCATGCTGTTTCGGTCGAGTGCTTTGCTCGGAAACCAAACTGCATAGGATGTAACAGACCTTCATCCTCCAGATGTTGTGTGAGCTGTTCAACTACTACCTTTTCTATTGCTTTTGATATAACGGGAAGGATACTAATTGGTCTGTAATTGTTGGCGTCTTGCTTATTTCCTCCTTTGTGTATTGGAATGATAGTGGCTGTTTTAAGTGTGACAGGGAATGTGTTTTCAGTTATAGATTGATTTATCAGTCTTGTTATTGGAGCAGTGAGGGTATCTTTGTATGTTTTTATGAGTAAAGTGTCAATACCATGTATGTCCTTAGACCTAGAGCTTGATAATGTTGAGAGTATTTTGTTAACTTTTGTTTCATTCGTTACTTCTAAACTGAGACCATCATGGCTAAATTCCAATTCGTTGTACTGATTTTGGGGAAAGTTCTTATTAAGGGTTTGCACAGACTGGATGAAATAGTTACTAAAAAAGTTACTAATGTCTAGACTGTCAGTAACAGTAATACCATTAATATCTAATGAAATGGTGTCATTCTTTGTTTTCCCTCTTCCAGTGAGTTTGTCTATGCTTTTCCACAACTGTGTCATGTTCCCTTTAGCTGCTTTGATCATTTCTAGGTGAAAGTCAGCCCTGGCCTTCCGGAGTAGAATGGTGACTTTATTTCGCAAACTTTTAAAAATCATTCGATCTGTATTTAATTTGGATTTAGTGGCTCTTTTGAGGGCTGAATCCCTTTTTTTCATTATATTCCAAATTGTTTCAGTGATCCAAGGTATTTTTATCTTAGCTCCTCTCTTTCTGGGTTGTGTTATAGTGTACTTGCTGATAATGTGTTTGATTTTTGTGATTAGACCATCACAAGCATGGTCTGCATTAATCCAATTGACGTCAGTCCATGAGACATTTTTTAGGTCATTGTCGAGCAGGGGTTGGTCTTTTTTGGGGATATGGGGCGAGAATTGTTGAGTACCATGTTGATTGTTATGTCTATATTTTGACAGCTTCCGGGATATCAGTGTGATGTTATGGTCTGATAAACCTGTGAGTAAGTTGTAACTTTTTTTAATGCGATCAGGTTTATTAGTGAAGACCAAATCCAGTAGGGTTTGACAGGAGGGCGTTATTCTTGTAGGATTGCTTATCACTTGTGTCAAGTGTAGTCCATTTGTAATGTCCTTAAGTTTCTTTCTGCGTGGCTTATTTAACCAGTCCAGATTAAAGTCCCCCATAACAATCAATTCTTTGGCATTGTCTTGTTGTTTCAGAATGTCTGAGAATGAACTGAGAAAGGTGTCCTTGGCTGTGGGTGGTCTGTACACCACAATCACCTGAAATGACATTTCTGGGGACAGTGTGATTTTGATTCCCACACACTCAATATTATCAACTGGGATGTTTATTTGTTCACTTTTAATGTTTTCTCTTACATATATCATGACACCTCCCCCTCTCCCACTTGACCTGTCCTTTCTGTAGATCTTGTACCCCGGGACATGAATCAGGGCAAAGGGTGTTGTTGGTGTTAACCAAGTCTCAGATAGGCCGAGGTAGTCCAAGTTAGAGTCTGATAATAGCTGCTGAATTTGTTCCGTTTTTTGCACTACACTTCTAATATTAAGGTGCCCTCCAAAAATTCCCTTTGGCTTAGAGTTTTGGTCCCATAATATTTTTGCATGATTTACAGTTTGAAACATCTTTGTACTTTGCTGTTTAGTAGCAGCTGTGTTTGTGAGTTTATGCTGAGGTCCAGCATCACTTGGTTCAATCGTTCTCATTCCTGTGCTGGTATCGACCGAACGCCTGCGTTCCAGCCTAGGTAGATGAGCGCCGACGTCATCGATTTGTTGTTTTGCTTGTGCTACACGCGTGACGCTGGCTGCTTGACCGCGACCTCCACCACGGACACGGCACAACCCCTGCGAGGCGCGCGGTCCGTGGGCTGCAGTGATGGTTCCCTCGGTCTCCGTCTCCAAACCCCGGCATCTCCGTCGTGGCGCTGGGCGCAGAGCAGGCACGCTCGCAGCAGCCCGGATGGCCACCCCGCTCCATGCTCCACGCTGTCTCGTCCCGCCGGCTGTCAGGCTCGGGCCGTGCATCAGAACCGGGTCGGCACTCGCAGGGAGGACGGAATTGCACGAGTAAGTGTGTTTGCTCGGGTGTGGAGTACAATGTGCGTAGTGTGCATACCTGAAGGTTAGCGGTGGTGCTCCTGTTGTTAATATTGCGTCCCTCTGTCACCGGTATGTTGTTTGGACCGGGACACTGGTGGATGTCTCCAGAGAGCAATAGGGTGATGGCCACAATAAACATCAGACTTTGCTGCTGTTTAAGTCCTGTCTTTGATAGTTTTGTGGCTTTGCTGTAGAGATATGGGTGGATGAATGTGGATAGCAGGGCGTGCTTCCCGAAGCCGAAGCGTTTGTCAGCTTCCATCTTGTGAGCATTTGTGAATTTACCGATGCCATTGCAATAACAACAGCCTTCTTTAGACTGACCAGTTTGACTGTTGTCTATATTTTTCATATTGCTTGTTAGTATTGCATATACAAACAGAGCACTGACAACACCTGCCGTGCCTGGCGGCGCCATCTTTTTTCTATCAGTTGTTCAACCTCTGGTGTGACCAGTCTTGCTCCACCCTGCGGCTGCACCGCAGGGTGGAGCAAGTAACAGGAGGTCACAGACTAGGAAATTGCTTTGGCTCAGTGCAACAGTCAAAAAGAGATAATAAAAATAAGAATAAAAAACACTTCTAAAGAATAGAAGTATTTTAACATAAATGTGTGATTGTGATGCATTAAAAGCCACAAAATGCAACGGGTCCATCAGACCCACAAACACTGCCTGAGTGACAACAATATGACAACTACACAAAGGTTAATGCTTTTCACATTGTAGTTAGATACATACTTTCTCCAGCAGCAAAAAACACATCCATATAAACCCATAAGTACATCAATTATTAACATATCTAACTCACTACCTAACAATAGTGAATATTTTTAACTCATCCAGGTCTGTTGTTCCATTCGGCAGCGCAGTGATATAAGCCTGTGACCAGAGTTTTTGCATTTGTGTGTATGTGTTTATTCATTTGGATGGGGCAGCGTGTATTAATCAACAGCAGTAACTGTAAATACACAAGATTGTAGCTTTCTTTGTAGCTAATCTCCATCTGTAGTCCCACACTCACAATCTAGACCCATGATCTCACTGGTGATCAGGATCATATCGATAAAAATCACTATTTTTTTTCTTCTTACTTTTTTCTGGGGGATTCCTGTTTGTGTGCACTTGGAAAGAGAATCAGCAGTGATGAGGTGAAAATGGTGAATGAAGAGCTTTGGAGGCAAATAACTGCCATGAAAACTTCAATGACTTGTTTAGACTATTTCAAAAAGGCCCATAATCCCTCTGGGGTTTTGCAGAGCTGGTACAAAGCAGAGTCACTGTAGTTACTTGACCTCTAAACACATAAAAAGCCACTTCCCCTCCACTGCCAGGAAGCATTCTGTGGCTGCATGTTGGAACCCTGAGGACCGAGCCTTCTGAACCCTGAGACCGAGCCTTATGAACCCTGAGGACCGGGCCTTCTGAACCCTGAGGACCAGGCCTTCTGAACCCTGAGACCGAGCCTTCTGAACCCTGAGAACCGGGCCTTCTGAACCCTGAGGACCGGGCCTTCTGAGCCCTGAGACCGAGCCTTCTGAACCCCGAGACCGAGCCTTTTGAGGGCCGAGGCCTCTGAACCCTGAGGCCGAGCCTTCTAAACCTTGACGACCAAGCCTTTGCTGCGACTGCTCTCACTCTCTGGAACTCACTCCCACATCAGGATCTTATTCTTGTGATTTATTGTTTTGTAAAGTGTCTTTGAGTGTTCAAAAAAGAGCTATACAAGTACAATACACTATACAATGCTATACAATGAACAAATACAATACAGTATTATTATTAAATATTCCCAATATTGATAAAAGAACCACATCAGTTCTGGCAGCAGCTGGAGTCTGGCACATGGTTCATTTCTTCTGCAGCTGGACACATCACTGACAAAATAAATAGCTTTTATTCAGGTTCTGTCATGGTTCACTGGTTGCACTGTTCGCCACCCACATAGAAGACATCAAACCTCAATGAATGAATGAATGAATGACCAATGCAATGTCATGTATTCGAGCACCAGGTATACACCACGGCATAATTTATTCTCTGAGCGGGAAAGACCAAAGTTAAAACACATAAAGAATATAGAACACATGTTGAAAAATGTCCATACATGTTGTAGAATGTTAAAGTGTCCTGGATCATCACCACAGTCCTTCTGGTTGGACACTAACTGCCCAACAGACCCTCCTGCATCGGCAAGGAAAAACTCATAAGAAAACCCAGTGGGAAAAAGTGAGAAACCTCGGGGAGACCCCGGCCACGGGAAGGAGGAAGAGGGGAGATATGGAAAAAAATATATATATATATTTACCACAACTAATAAATGTATTCATATTTTGGGAAGTGATTTGACAGACGTAGGCTGTGTATACAAATGTGTATGTAATTATTTTAGGGCCTAAACATGCAGGAGGTTACGTTGACAATTGGTTTCCCGCTCTTAGCTGCATTTTTTTGGAAAACCTCCAGCTCCGAAAAAGAACACCACCACCGTGACAAAGGACAGAAGCGAGAGCAACGAGTCTGGGCCTATTCACCTGCCTCTGCCCAGTGATGCACCGCCAAACACACACCCAGCAGCCCCAGCACCCGCATCCCTGCCGGGCCTGCCCTGTGTGATCGGATTAGATAAACCCTTCCAGCCAACATCCAGTTTCAAGTTCCCCTCCCGGCATTGTGGTAAAGAAACATGTTCACGTTCTGTGGCACCGACGTGGTTTGCCAGATGGCAGTGGCTGCATTATGTTAAAGAGACAGATCACATTTTCTGTTTTGTTTGCCTAAAAGCAGTCGAAAAAAAAAATCACACTGAGAGACAAATTCAAGAAAGACAACCCCTTCGTGAGTACCGGATTTTCCAATTGGCGTAAAGCCACAGAAAAATGTAACGAGCATGAGAAATCAGAGTGGCACAACGTCTTGTGGCTGATACTTTGAACTTTGTTCAGGGAGTCTCATCTATGTTGAGAGAGTCATCGAAGCGAAAACATTTATATCAATGGTTTTTCGGCTGTGATGATGTTATTGTGAACATCTTAGGCCTTTGCCCGACAAGGTGGTGTATCCGTGACATGAGTGTCAGGGGGGACAGCAGAGCAAGGATTGGGGGCCTCTACAAACAGGCATTAAAGGGAAGAACATATTTTGGTCTTTTATGTTGCCATGCCCTGTTCGAGCCCTGCAAAGCAGTTGCCACAAGCCTACAGAGTGCCACAGCGAGTGCGCAAGGTGCACTGGAATGTATAAGCATGCTAAGAGAAAAAATCAAATAAAGTGAGCAAAACTCCAGCCCGCTTTCGTCAAACTAGAAAGCAGTTGGGCGCGGCGCACTGGTGGATTGGAGACGTAGCTTTTTTTTTAGAGCAGTATGAAACTTGCTGCAAAGAGAGGGCCGTTGTCAAAGCAACAGAGGGAATGTGCGTTAATCTGGAGGAACTGCAGCTCCCGGTAGAATTTGACACCGAGCGCTTCGAAGACCAGCTCAAAATGCTTGGGCCATGCATCGCCACGCAAGTTTCCGATGTTACAAAAAGGCAGAAGGTCAGAGAGTGTCACAGTCAAAGATGTAGCGTCATGTTTGACCAAGCTCCAACCACAAACTATAAGCATGTTTTCAGAGGTGGAAAAACTGATGGAGTTATGTTTGTGCCTGCCAATCTCAGGAACTCATCTGAGCACACTTTCTCCGCCTTGCGTCTTTTGAACAGACTCACACATCTTTCACTGATGCATGCCCACGTCGCGATTCTGAATTCTATGGACATTCGACCCCTCATGAAAGACTTAATCTCCACAACACAGAGCGCACCTCCACATTCGGGCATCTGTAACTACAGGCTGCTACGCACTGTTGCTTCATGTTTGTTTGTTTATTTTCATTCTGATCCCCATTAGCTGCTGAAAGAAACAGTAGCTATTCTTCCTGGGGTCTATGTTCGTGTTAACAGTGTTGATGCGTGTATACATAGTTCCCACAGACCAATGAATGTCACATGACCTCCTCGGAGACGCCATCTTTGATGGCACGCTGCTGTGTTTGTGCATTCCATTAAACAGAAGAATGAGAATAAATGTAGATATTCAAACGCAAATTGGAAAAAAGGGCAACTTTTGAGCAAATAATTGTATATTAATACAATGGCACCACAGTTTAACGTGCTACGGACATGTTTTACATATTTGATCAAATTATGCAGCAAAAATTAACAAGCAATGCAAACATTTCTCAAAAACTTTAGATTTAATACCAGTTGGAGCTCCATTTAATTATTTTAATTATATTAACAATTCATTTAATTAATGCTAATGCCACACGGACACTCTGGATTGCTGTTATTGTTTATTTCCGCGTTTTTGACCGTATGTTTTGGTGAATGGTGGGCAACTGATTTTTCCAGGCGTAAAGAGCAGTTTATTTTATGACACAGATCTTTTTACAGAAGCAATGCTGTTTGTGAACATTGTTTTAGCCCACCATAGAACTATTATTATCTATTTAATACATTTACGTTGCCCTCGAGAGCCTCGGACGCGACACCGATCCTCCTCATAATAAAGTAATCTAAATAATGAAACTCTCAAGTTACCAGATATCAGCATACACAAGTTAGTACTGAGTAAATTACGTCTGTCAACACATTATAAGATACGATACGCACCTGACACAAAGTCCTCCGAGCATATTCTCGCGTGTTTTGAGGGAGTTTCTTGCCTGTTTATCATCGCAAGCCATAACCTCCGTGGTTGTTCTGACAAAAGCTTAGTCTTCTCACATTCATGAAGTCTAATGATGGGTATACTGTAAAATCCAAGTTTAACGGAACCTCCGGCACGATTTGAACATCCATTGACCCAGCAGGAGATGACCATTTTCAACTTTATCACGACATTAACACGTTTCAGCTTCTTTTTCTATTGTTTTGCCCACAGAATGCCAACACAAATGGCGCCGGGTCGGCAAATCCCCGTATGTAGTGACGTCATGTAGGAACTATGTATTATTAAACGTATGAGTTGTTTGAGGTGGACAGTGTTCTAAACGATGAATGTATCTGTTATGTATGTTTAAATAAGCTTAGGCTCAGAGGTTAGGTACAAAAAAATATAATCAAAAATCACAGCACCCCCTGTTAAGAAATACTTCCCGCAGCCCTGGGGAGACCCATAGTTTGAGAAAGGGATCCGCTCCCATGAACGGACGGGCTATAGATCCAGGACCTAAGCTACAGAACGTGGACCAGCGGCCGTTGAACGTGGACAGGTCCGGT